CAGTGGATTCGTCCACTTGGCATCGATGGAATATGGATGGTAACTGTGGTGGCAGGTAGGATGTGGCTGGAGGCAGTATGTCACTGGTGGCTGCCTTTGGGGTTTATACTTTGTCCCTGAGAGCAGTGCTCTCTCTCTGTTCCTAGTTCCCATGTTGTGAGCTGCTTTCCTTCTCCCTGCCCTTTTGCCATCATGTTCTGCCACACTTGGGCCCACACTCTGGACTGAACCTCCCAAGACACTTTTCCTCCTCTAAGTTGTTCTCATCAGATCTTTTGGCCAAAGTTATATAAAGGTAAAACAGAAAGCAAAACTGTAAAATAGGAAAAGTTTATTGAGACAGGACCATCTCAGGGTGGCCAAGTATGACCCCACAGATTGTTAGTCAATGAAAAGGGAGAACTGCATCTTTACAAAGGGGAGATCTGATGGTCACCAGCATAATTAAATGACCAAACTGAGCATTACTAAGAGTTGGACACATGAACATTTTCTGCCATATGATGTGTTGCAATACCTGATGTGTGAATGAATAATTTTTTTTTCTGGTAAAAGAGTATTTTTCTGCCTTACCAAGACCTAGAAAATCTTGATATACTTCTCTAGTGACTGTTTTTTCTCTACATTTGGTCTCCCAATGTCTCGTTAGAATAACGCATAAGAGATAAAAACCACAAAAATAGTGAGGCATTTTTTAAAGCAAAATTCTTTTCTAACTCATTTTTTATAAGGATGATCATTTTAATTCTGACATACATTTGTATTTCCCTTTATGCTGACTTTCCAACATGGTTTCAAAATCTGTAGATTTCCGTTGCATCTCTTCGTGTTGTGGTTTAAGAACATCATGTTCTTTTGGGTCACTTGATGTTATTATTCTGCCTGCCACACTTGGTTTGAGCTATTCTGCCGTCATACAATAGTGTTCATTAGGGTAGTTTTCAGCAAGTACTGTGAAATTTTTAGAAAACATGCAAAATTATGGTTTCAAAATAGATATATTGGTTTTGCCAGAAGGAAACCCTACCTAACCCTACCCATGCCCGCGATATGGTCACAAATTGTTCACATTTGTTCACATATGTGTTCTCAACAGTAAGGGGAGCCAGCCAGACTTTGTAACAGTCCTGGCAAATGTTAATGTAACAAGAGAAATCAAGAAACATAACAAGCAGCTGTGTCTTTTTGGTTTGGTTTTAAAAAAAGAAAACAGCTTGAATGTGAACGTCTTTCTAGATTTGTTATTCTAATAAACAGGCAATTTGATTTCCATGATAAAGTTGAAGATTTTGAAAAACAGAATTCAGGTTTGTTTTAATAAAGTCCAGCTATTATTGTAAAATTCTATTGATAAGTGGGAAGAACTTGCATGGAAATGAATTGAGAAAAAGATGGTAAAAGAACTAGACAAACATGGGTAGACCCATTGAAAATGAACAGTGATGTAAATCAATACCACCTACAAACCCATCAGTGTATATGCAAAAACCAGCAAAGTTGTAAAGAAATTCTGTGCAAATATACTTTCAACCCAAAGACAACTTCAAAGAAAAATATTGCTGGTTAGATATAGAATTGGAAAATTGAAAGTACTTTGAATTTGAAAGTACTCTGGAAGTTGAAGTTTAAAAAGGAATGTACTGGGAAAGATTTTTGATTCTTTGAAAAAGAAGTAAGCAAAAGTTTCCTGTTTCAGATCCATTTAGGTAACATTTGCTGGCTGTGGTTTTATGCCCTATGCATGGTGGGCAATAGATGATTCCTGCTGTGAAAGAGATCACACCGAAATCGAGGCGTGTACAAGGCAAAGCAGATCACTTGGAGTTCCAGAAAGGAGGATGGCAAATTTTAAAAACTAAAGAAGGGGGAAGCCAGAGGATTTATGACAGAGATGTTTTATGACCTTAAGTGACAGTTTATTCGAGTAGAAGATAGAGGTGGCATGGGCGTCTCTGACAGATGAGAGAGGAGTCTGTGTGGTCTAGAAGAGCCCCACATGGAACCCTATGAAGACATCTTCTGTGGCATCATTATAATAGGTTATAATGGCCCTCACTAGACTGTCATTTCCTGAAGGAAAATTAACATGCAGTCAGCCCTCATTTTTAGATTCTGTATTGATGAACTCCTGCACCCACTGAACTTTACTTGTAAACAAAGTTTACAAATATGCTTTCATACTTCTGCTCTCTCACTTGTGGACATGTGAGAGCAGTGAACAATTTCCAGTTGCCCAATGCACATGTTCCCAGCTGATACCAGGAGACACCTTGTCCCCGGTAAATACTTGCTTTTGACTGTTTTTTTAGTGCCATGTTTTTTTGCATTTTTGTGCTTTACATCGGTGATTTTGCTGTTTCAAATGGCCCCTGAGCATTATTCTGAAATGCCATCCAGTTTTTCTAAGCACTAGAATATTGCGAAGTGCTTTAGAGAGGAAATATTTGTGTTAAGTCACCTTTGTTCAGGTATGACGCGCGTGCGTATGTTCAATGTTTGTGTTTCAAGATATTAAATAAAGTGTTTTTAAACAAAAAGAAAACAAGGTGCATATTGATTGATTGATGAAAGTGTTCAGACTGGAGACTCACAGAAAGAAAATGTTATATTTCTCCCAGTCATAGTGCTTCAGTATTTGCTCAGTTAGTGACTTTGTAGAACATATAACGACTCCTGGTAAGGAAAATTGGCTGTATTTCTGTGCCTAGTACTTAGTGTTTAATAGACAGTCAAGGAGTTTTATGAGAAATTACTTGAATTGGGAAGAATAATTCAGCTCCCTTAAAATTTTCAATACTGAGCTCAGGAAATGGGGTTTTAATATCATACAGGCAATGGAAAGTCTTTGGAGATGTTTTTGCCCTGAAAATGATCTTTTCATTGTGAATTGTTCACCAAGAGTTGATAAAATGGTCTAGATAGTGTCATGGACAGAATGAATATCCCTGGGATCCTGATCATAAGAAGCTTCTGAAGAAGCTCTAAGAGTTTCTTTAGGAGAGTTAGTTTCACAGGATGAATGGAAGAGAAGAGAGAATGGAAACACAAAGCTAAGTTATGCCCCTTCTGGAGCAATCCTGACTTAAGATAGTAAAGACCTGGATTAGGGTGCTACATAGAGAACAGGGAAGAAGGGGCAGGTTCTGGAGCAATGAAATAGAAATCAGAAGGTGATTTCATGTGGAGGGTGGGGCAATGGAAGGGTGAGACTAAACTTTGAAGTTTGCTATCCCGACTTTGTTATTTCCTGTGCTGGAAATTTTTTTAAATAGTATTTTTCTCATACTGGGTTATTACTCCATTCTGTGCTGAATCTTTTTTTAGATACTAGTATTGGGGTCACAATCCTCATCCCTTATAACTAGCAACTGATGAATTGCTTACTGTTGGGGATGAGAGTGGGGGAATAATAGATATAGTTTTTAAATTAATAACAAATTTTTATAGTTTATTGTGAAATTTTGTCTGGGGAAGGGTGTTCAGGATTGAGCTATACTTTTTAAACTGAGTGTGTGTAAATGACTTCCACTCTAATGACAATTTATACCTAACAGTAGATAGTTAAATGTTATAAATGCTAAACTTGCTGAAAAGTCTGTGAGAAGGAAGACAATCATTCCCTGCTGTTCACTGTAAAATTTTGTGAAAAAAATACAGAGATGCTGGGATCAGCATTAATTACATTTTCAGTAGAGCATATAAGGCAGTAGCCATTTTAATTTAAATTTTAAGAGTCAATCCTTCTTTGTGAAGTACCTAGTGTGTGTCTTTATAGTTTCCACACTTTGAGAAATAAAACTCTGTTCTCAAGCAAGCATTGTCAGAAAGCTTTAAATATGTATGACAAGCTCTTTAGTTAAATTTTGGTGTCAGTGTATCTTTTTTTTTCCTATTAGAAGTCATTTTTTAAAGACACAGTTTATATCTTACTCTACAGGATATTTACGTCACTCATTTTACAAAGTTATGCAAAACTGATATCCTACTTGGAAGAATAATACTTTTCTTTTCCTGGCAAACTCATCTCAGGTAATCAAGAATTGTAGATTTTTTTTTTTTTAGTGTCAATGTTCAAGGAACAATTTACATGGCATTTTAAGCCAGGAGAATTTATTCTGTGGCTAAGTACTGCATGTGTTTAATTCAACGGGATATTAAAAAAAATCAAAGAAATTCTGATGTTCTTTATCTTTTTTCATCTGCTTTGAGTTTAATGTATCTTTTTGAACAAAGCCATGTTTGTGAAGAACATTAAGTTTTGTTTGGCCTTCTCAACTCCAAGTACTCAGTGGACCTTACTGCAAGGTTATGCTCCCTGGACTGATTGATATATAAACAGAAGACAGATGGTGTAGAGATGACTCTGATGATAATTCATTTTTCAGCTAGTCATGAAGATATTTTGATTACAGTATGTTTAAGTAATTATAACACAGTCTGCAATGTTAGTCTTGCTGGGAAGGGAACACATGGAAAACAAGTTATGTGTTATTCGTGCCCAACAAAGGATGCACTGTGGTGTAATGATTTTAATTCCTAATGCTAGATTAGGACTGAAGGAGTTTAAAATATGTCATACAGTAAGGTAAGTCAATTAAACATAGACCAAATAAAAAAGGTAACTGCACAGCTTTGAGGCATAAATATTTGTTTTGGAAAGTATTTAGATGTTATTATATGAAAGAAACCAGTATTTTTAAATTTAGGTAACAGTCTGTGTACCGCTAATTAAAAAATTACGTGGCTTGATTTTAAGTTTATGTGAATCGTAATTATCATGCAGCTTGCTTTTCGTGTTGTGAACTTAAAACCCAAATCGAGAGGGCTGACGAGTCAACAGCATGTTACAATCCTGCTGTTCTTTTGATGTTTTGAAAAAAAAAAATGGAAGCAAAATGTCAAAATGAGAAAAAAAATTAGTATTATGTGAATAGATGGGTCAAGTTTTCATTTTCACTTCCTAATAACAGTTTATGCCACCATTTTTTATTTCACCATAGAATAATTGATCGCTTAGATGGAGTTCGTTTGTTGTGGTCCCTGCTGAAAAATCCACACCCAGATGTGAAGGCCAGTGCAGCATGGGCCCTCTGTCCATGCATTGAAAATGCAAAGGTAGGAACGAACTGCAAATCAATCTGTGAATCAATCTACAGTCTCTAATACTATATTGAATAATGTTGCCACAGGTCACTAATTGCCTTTGACTTACCTATGGTTAGATTGATCTTGTGGAAAAAAAAGTGATAAACAATGTTTATGCAAAAAGAATTTTTGAGCAATGCCTTCTTCTGGTCAGTTTCAAAATGCCAAATAAAACTAGTGTCTGATGCAGTGCTTACAAAGTTCTACTTGATGTGTGCAATTGAAACAAATACCCTGTAAATCAGAAGAAAGACAGACTGAAGTTCTTAATTCTTGGATAATAAGAAAATTATCTGCATTTACCTGCTACTTACAGAGAAGGGCAAGCATGGTGGGAAGCTTGACTTCTTTTATGGTAGCTTTAGCCAGCAGTGAAAGCGCAGTCAGGTCTGCTTTACCTTGAAGAGGTTACATAATTTTACTGTGCCTCACTCACTTTTCTTATCTGTCATTAACAACTGAATCAGAAGTTTCTGATGTCTGTTTTAGTTCTTCACTTGTAAATTGTTTTTTTTTCTTTTGAAGATATCTTTTCAGCTTGTCTCTCTTTAGCAACATTCTATCAGTTTAGAGATTTCTCTTGAAGTCCTTGTTGCCAATGCTATTTCTTTCTGTTGAATACGTTTATCTAAAGGATTTTATTTCTTTAGTAAATTTAACATGATTCGAAATAGTATCCTAAATGTAACCATTTGTGAAAAGTGAATTGTGATATATACTAGGAAAGAGGGGACTTATTACAAGTTCATTAATGGAACCATTGTTTATCACAGCAAACAATTAAAATGATCTCAAATGTCCATCTATAAGAAATGAACAATAAGATAGTAGTCTATTTATACCATATCATATAATGAAGCAATTAAAAATGAACTTAATTAATATATTCGTTGATATTGATAAATCTCACAAAAAATATTAAGCTAGTGCTGGGGATGTAGCTCAGTAGTAAAGCATTTGCCCTGCATGCACAAGGCTGTGGGTTCAATTCCTAGCACCACAAAAAAATAATGTAAGTAAATAAATAAGAAATAACAAGTTGCAGAATAAGTATACAATATGATTCCTTTGAAAGTTCAAAGACAGTTTTAAATATAAAATTTAAATTATATTATTTAGGGAGCAAGAAAGAAGTCTATTGGGTGAAGATCAATATACATATTTGAAGAATAATCCCTATTGGTTACTTTCCATATCAGCTCAGTCCTTCATTAATAAATATGACAATAAAGGAACACCATATATTTAAGAAATGATATTAAAGAGAAAAAACCACATGGGGGAAATGGGGATTGAAATCAAATTCCTTGCATGTATGATTTTGTCAAAATGAATCCAACTACTGTGTATAACTATCATGCTGTAATAATAATTTAAAAAAGACAAACCAAGATTAATAAGCAGAACTAACTTCAGAGGAAACTGGATGTACAGAAAGGAACAGAATGTACCATTAAAATTTATTTTAAATTAATTTTTTAAAAATTAATATTCTTGAAAAGAATAATCCAAGAATACTCCAAATAGGTGGTTATAAAAAAGAAATACAGAGAAAGGTTTTTTTGAAATCTAAATTATTTGGCAAAACAATAAATATAGTAGAAAAGAGTAAAACTATGATCAAAATGGCTAAATATTTATCTGGAAGATATAGTCTAATAAAAAATAAGAATATAAAGTAAAAATGAAACAAAAATAACACACAAAAATACATTAAACAATAATAATAATAAAAAAGAGTAATTGAGAAGAAATAGTTATTTTTTTATTGTAGAAGAAGGTTCTATAAACTGAATTTCTAAAGAAAGATTCTAGTTTTCAGATTTGAAAGATTCACTTTTTGCAAAGCAGGAAAACAAGCAAACAAAAATTTTCATACCTATACATACATTTAAACTTGGTGTTTCAGAAATAAAAGAAAAAAAGTTATAAAAGAACAAAAATCACATCACATTGGCATTAGACTTAACATCATCCACAATAAATTCTGAAAGAATTTACTAGTAAGAACATAGCTGGGCTGGGATTTGTGGCTCAGTGGCAGAGAGCTTGCCTCTCACATGTGAGGCACTGGGTTCAATTCTCAGTACCACATAAAAATGAATAAACAAAATAAAGATATTGTGTCCATGTGTAATCAAAAAAATATTTTTAGAAAAAAACATAGTTTTTTATGTCTTTAGAGGAAAGTACTTTTTTATCTTGGAATTTTATATCCTTCAAAACTAGCTTTTGAGTGACAGTAGAGAGTGAGGAAGAATAGACTTTTTTTTTTTCTTTTAGAAATGGCAGAATTCAGAAAGTTTATCCCTGATGAATCTTTTCTGGAAAAGAAAAATAGTTTTTATTTTAGAATATTTTTCAGCAACATAAAGATTTTAGCTGGGCTCAATGGCTCAAGCCTATAATCCCAGTGGCTCAGAAGACTAAGGGAGGAGTGATCATAAGTTCAAAGCTAGTCTCAGCAACTGAATTTAGTGAGGTCCTAAATAACTTAGTGAGACCCTGCCTCAAAATAAAAAATTAAAAGGGGTTGGGGGGGTGTCCTGGAAATTTGGCTCAGTGGTTGAATTAATCCCTGGTACCAAAAACTAAAAAAATAAAAGATTTTATGAAAGAGAATAATGTGAGTTATAAGAAACAATAATGAACAAATACATGATTTCAGTTAAATATGAATTGATGTTGATAATATGGCTTTTAAGTTTCATTACATTATTAAGACAGAATTCCTTTCAAGGTAGTGGCATAAAATAGAATTAATGCTGATAGCATTACCACAGTAACAATCTGACTTCAAACTACCAGAGAATTAAAACTACAAGTTAGGTAGTTAGGTAGTAACTTGTAGTGGTTAGGAAGTAGTAGATAGTAACTTGTAGTAGTTCAGAAGTCATAGGTAAAAGCATGCTAAGGGCCTTTTCCTTTCCCAGAAAAAAAAGTGTTATAGATACTAGTTATTTCTCAATCATCATTGAAAGTATCAGTTTAAATATAGAATTTAATATATTGATGAGATGCTATTTTGTATAGTAACCATTTCTACTTAGTACTGTTACTTTGTATAAATTGTGTCTTATCTCATGGATTTTCTCCATATCTACTTTTTTATCACATTCATTATTCCTGTGCAGGCTTCCAATCTTGAATATCAGGCTTATCTTCTATGCCAGCAACTGAAACTGAACTAAAGTTAGACCTTAAACAGGACCCAGTCTTCCACTCCCCTCCCCTCCTCCCTCCCCATCCCTCTTTTTTTCCTTTCCTTTCTTCCCTTTTTCTACCTTTAATTTTGAATTCAGATATGAGATAGTTATCAAAAGAATTTATCTGCATTAATAACCCTATGTAAATAAAAAAACTTGAAGTCAGTTATTAATTTGGCTGATTATTTCAACAATAAGGACTGTTTTTTCTGATTGGGTAACATGGAGGACTTTCTCATAAATTAAATTAACTAAATATGCAGAATCAAAAATTTGAAGGTATATATAACTATCAGAACATTTATATTTTATGACTCAATTTATGATGAAAGCAGTTTTAGATGTCAATTTCAAATGAATAAGAAATATACGCAACTTTTCAGAAATATACTGGGATATGTGAGCACAAATTTTAAAGACCATTGATTAGTCTCATGTACCAGGTCTGGCCTTTGAAGTACGAGAATGGGAAATTTACACATCTTTCCTCAAGAAAGTAGCCTGATTTATAAGGATCTAATCTTTTGAGAATCTCAATCCTATTTTTCAGGGTCATAAACTGAATATTACATTGGCCTTCCCCCTTACATATTTTCATTTATTTAGTTATTTGTTTATTTATTGATTGGTTCTAGGGATTGAGTCCAAGGCACTAATCCCCATTCCTTTCTATTTTTCATTTTGAGACAGGGTCTTTCTAATTCACTGAGGCTGGCCTCAAATTTGTGTTCTTCTTGTCTCATTCTCTGAGTAGCTGGGATTATAGTCATAAGCCTCCAGGCCAGCATTTTTTTCTTTTCTTTTGCATTGGGGGGGGATGGAATCCATGCCCTGAGGCATGCTAGGCTCTACCACTGAGCTAACCCCAGGCCCTTCCTTGTATCTTTCTATACAAACTCATTTTCCTAATGCAGAAGGATATGTTAGGGTTAGAGCTTGAAATAGATCATTTGCTCAGAAAGGCAAGAGGAAAGAAAGCAATTTATAATATTTAAATTAGATAGCATCTTATTATTTATACAGATTCCAGTCAAACCATGGTCTAAGAAAGCTTGAGCTAATAAAACTATGACAATGAAAATGTACTGCTCAAATATGGGTACTACTAGCCACCTATGGCTGTTGAGCATTTGAGATGAAGAAATGAATCTATAGTTGTCTTAAATTTTAATTAAAGTTTAAGTGGCCGACTATGGTTAGTGGGTATTGTTTTGGTGCCTAAATCTAAATTTAAAAAAAGCAATGATGAGTTTTGTTTTGGTAAGGCAACTGTTAAAAAGAGTTGTATATCTCAAGAATTAAATAAAATTGTGTATGGTTATATGTTCATTATGTTAATTTTAGAAAGTTAAGTAGAGGAAAAATATTATTTTTAAATTTCAGGACTTGGAGATAACCACTATTAACAGCTAGCATTTTTTTTTCTCCTTAACAATGAGTATCTGATTCTCTGTATTAGTTATCACTGTCTAATTTTCTTTGGCCATCTAGTATTTTTTTTATGGCAATATTACTTATGCAATTAAGTTTCCAGTTTTAAAATACAGAGTGAGGTTAAAGGAAACAAAAATTCATTGGAGTCTTTCTAGAATGTTCTTTCATATAGGGAAAATAAAGTTACCTCTGTCTCATTGGTAAAAATTTGAACATAGTTCCCTAGGAATATGATTTATAATGTCAAAAGTCAGTGGTTAGTGTTTTCTTTTTCTTGATTATACATAAACTAATAGTGCATTTCAGAATCAAGTGCATTTTGGATTAGAG